CTGGGCGTGGAGCACTTAACAGAGCGACGTTCAAACTTAACGGCCCCAAGATGGAGAAATGACTCTTTGCAGGATGTGAAAGTTTTGATCATCATTGCAAGATGTCCCACATTCAAAACCTTGAAGTGAACAAAGTTGCAAGCGCCAAAGCAGGTTAGTGAGGCAGGAAATCATGACATGCCACAGACAGAAAAAAAAGAACTCCTGCTTACTTCAATCATTCATACTCATGCAAGGCCTTTCTTTATTTAAGCCCATGCTTAATAAAGCATGAATCTCATGACAGATGAGAGCTGTACTGTACTGTAGCTCACAGTACACAATAAAAGTAGTAACAGATTGAAGCAGTTACACACTCGTGGTTAGAGCGTGCTGCTAAAACTAGGCTCAGACAGGTATTGTAAGATGCCAGATTATTCGGTAAAAATTGTAGAACTGATCTGAAATAACCTCAAGCAAATGGCAAACTTACAATGTGATTCCATTTTAAATTCATAAAAGGAGAGCAAATCTAACAAAGAAAAATGAAACATTACATATATCCAAGTCTGAGGTATTTGGTTACTTCTTGCTTTGATTCTAAGGTTTTCTGAGAATGGACTCCACAAGACTAAAAATATGTATCATAAATCCTCATGAACATCTTCAACCTACCAGCAGTAGCCTATATTGGATGTAGGAACACAGAAATTGCTTTCTGTAAGTGCTAGTAACAATGTCATCAAGAGGATGAAGACTCCCCCCCCAGCATGCTGAGCCCACCCCAGCAGGGCTCTTATCAGTCACTTTGGGCCCAGCTGGTCCCTGAGATTAGACTTAGCTTCAGGAGCACTGACGATGGTCTCACCAAAGGCATTTCAACATACGTCTTTGTGGCACCGCCATGTTCTAAATTAAGACAACAGCATTGAACATATACCTTGTGGTTTTCCTTCGCAAAGAGGATGTTGCAACCACTGATGACACCCAGTGTGTGCCTTTTTCACTTGACTAAAGGAGGATAATCATGTTTTAAGTGATTTTTCCATAAGCCTTTCACTTGTTCCACCATCTGTCCTTACAAGCCAGACCAGCACAACACATTTCCTAATGTGTGCCATAAAGCAATCCAGTTGTCGTAAGACATCTGGCCTGGTAGTAAATGTCTTCAGAGGCCCAAGAAACCAGGCCTGATCTAAAATGACACATTATTGAAACCTATTGTGCATTAATTCATTTTCAACAGACAAATACTAGTTCCAAAACAGTTTTATGGATTACATCCACAAGTCTATTCTGGCCTTGGCTGAATGAAAATCTGACCCATTAGACCAAACTTAATTATACCCAACAGTCTTGAATGAAAAGTGACAAAAGATAACCATGTAAAAAAGGCACAGACTGCGCCCTCTAACCTGTTCAACTCGCCACTTAGAACCATGTTTCAAAAGTGTGTTTTCACTTGCAAACTGACTTCTCTTTTCACAACACCATGCCTCTCGCAGTTCACACCCTTCCACTTCAGAAACTCAAAAACAAAAAGAAATTGTGCACATCGAAGTGTTGTCCCGCTTTTGAGACTGTGTACAAAAGCCGTTGTTGTTCATGAAGTGTCTGAATATATTGAAATTGTATCAAGTATACTCGATCAAGAGAGTGCAATACTCATACAGTATGTAGCTAACTACACAAACAATTCCTCTGTCACTTTCTTTAACATTTCGCAGACCAACTGGGATAAGAGCTACAGTGGTTTACACCGTATAGTGGGAATTTGACGGAGCGTAACCTCACAGTGTGCACGTGTGTATGGAAACACTCCACCAGCGGCAGCAGGGCAATGTGCTCAGCAGCACGTGGCCCATTAATTAGTGAGGGGAACCATACAATCCTCTGTTTCATGCTTCAGCTACAGCCACCCACCTTCACACACGAACACACTCTTTCAAACAAGTGCAAGCATGCATAGACAGGTGCGTACAAAACAAAAAAAAAAAGACATCCTTTGAATCACTGGGTGGACAGGAAGTGAGACATTCTCCTGTCATGACTTAAAGTATGAAAGTGGTTATGGGGAGAATGAAAGCCAGAAATGTCTGGGGGGATTTTTAAGCATCACCACAGTATTGTGGTATTAATGTTGATTATGGGGTTTGCACAACATTTGGAGCAGTATGTCAAGGACTTGCAATATGAGCTAAAGGTCAAGCATGCAATTGAATCAAACTGCAATTTAAATCTTAAAGTCACACTGATTACACATGAACAAATACACTGTCTTTAAATATTTCTGTTTAACACACCTCCACACTGATGGTGGACAGTGATACTGTAACTTCAGCATGTCAACAACAGCTTGTTTATGCACGTCTGTGAGGCTCTTTCACCAAAACCTGCATTTCAAAAATGAATTCTCTGCATTTGGTGTGTTTATTTTGTCAACCTATGTGCTAAGCTGCTTAGCTTAAGTTAGGTAAACATAATATCAACCATCAATTGCATTACATTCACTTTTCATGTAAATTCTTGTGTCTATTGTTATGCAAAAATAATTACTAGATCAAAAAACATACACATTAGACCATTAGTTTCACTTTTTCATGCAAATAAACATTAAACAGTAAACCATTTTGGCATGTGACCCTTTAAAAAAAATCTAAATGTACAACAGTTCAACCAAAGAGGAGTTTCTTGGCAAAACTTTATAGAAAAGAGGTATGATAAAATAAACTTGATCAAATTCACCCAGGATGCCTTATCTGCAGCAGAACATCAGCAATAGAAAAGTCCAGTTGTTCCTACAGGGAAAGACTCTGGAAATACAACAGAACACATTCGATAACTGAAGAATTATATTGCATTTTATTAGATCCTTCTTTCACGCTGTTCCTGCGATTCATAAACACAAGCAGCTTGATTTGTCCTTAACACTCCCCTTGAGCAACAAAGTGAGTTGTTATTCTCCCAATGGCGACATTAACCTTTAGAGAGTCAGGCTGACAGAAGCACTCTGTACTCTAAACCAACACTGTACAGTTGAAGAGGTCTGTGCTTAATCTCAAAGACAGGTGTTGGAAACTAAAGAAGCTGCCTGAGCAGGGGCCCTTGCGACGCGCATTTGACAAAAATTTCTTTTTTATGAAGGGACGATCCGTATTGCTCTTCTGGTGTCTGTCACACATCCAAGCCCAGCTTTTTATTTGACTCCTGCCCCTAACAGTCTGATAAGCAGCTGATTTCACTTGTGACTGAGATATCGAGCCTCCTCCCTGCTCTATATCAAAAGCCTTTAACAACGGAAAACATGTGCAATTCACCACTCGAGGCCTCTCCCTCCCACAGACGAGCAGATCATTCGGAGGTTCGGGAGCGATGAGAGGAAGTTGTCCCCTGATGAAAGTCCCACGATTACCTCTCTTGGTAATCATCTGCTCCCCACTCTGCCGCCCTCCCCTTTCTATCTTGACAGATGCAGGTGTGGAGCTGTCCTCCTCCAAACCACTCAGGAGAGGAAACCGAAGCCAAAGACGAGGCTTGGCATTTGTATAAGAAAGACTTAGAGGGGACATTTCAAAAAGCTTGCCAGTTAGTGTGTATGCCCCCACGCTGTAACACTCAACTAACATCTTTAAACTTAAAGCCTCTCATGTTTAGTGAGTCCCTCAGCATCTTAGAAGCAAACTAAAAGCATTGTTTGTTTTCATGCTATACCGGTTGCTTCACTTCTGTCCTTGTTGTTTTTATCTGTCAAAAGACCATCCACAGGATGCCTCACATACTCTCTCTGCTCACAAGACTCAATACAAGACAACTTCCATAATGTTTAATTCAGACCTGTGGCTACACAAGCAAGAAATTAACCATTTTCTTTTAATTTCATTGTAAAAAAGGCACCATTCCCCTGAGACTCTGACATTTCATTGGGACAGATGGAGGTCTCTGATTATGAACTTTCAAAATTCATCTTCCCGTGTCTGCGCTCCTGATGCCCCAGTGTGTGCATACTGTCCAGCAAAAACAAAATACCTAAATAAGGTGGAGCCCTCTAAAAAGACTACATTTGCTGTTCAGCGCAGACCTCTGGTAAGGCATCACTTCTTCCACTGAGGCCCCCCTTCTAGATGTGTCAAAGACTTTCACTGTGCTCCACAGGGCAGCACAGACACAGAGCGCCTGTGCCATGCTGCACACGGAGGGGGCTGACCAGCGAACAGATCCAGATTAAATAACTCCTCTGAGCCAAAAGTAGTGCTGCTGCTGATGTTTGAGAGGAAACGGACAGAACTAAGGAAGAGAGTGAGTGAGGGAGGGAGGGAGTTGGGTGGGTGATTGAAGGTGTTTCTAAAACTCACAAGAAAAATCACTAGAGGAGTGAGTCTCTTTTTACATACTTCAGTAAAACTATGATTTAAGAGAATGAGAGAAAGTTGCTTCAACAAGCCACTCATACAAGAAATAAAACTGAAGATGCTGATCTCAGCAAAAGGACATAAACTATCATTGACTAACATGTATGTAATAAATTATTATTTAACAAGTTTTCATCCACTGGTCATGTTGCATAACCTATCCGCGATACCCAAAGCCACAGTTTGATGAATACCTGACCTGTTCTTACAGTGAAACTCTGAAGCAACAGCATAGTTGAGGTATTAAGTCACAATCTCAGGGACGGTGCAGCATCCACAGGTGACTGGAAGTAGTTCACACCTTTTTTATTGCAGGCTATATTCTAAGAAAGAGATATGTGCACTGCAATGGAAACTCGATCATACTAAAGGAAACTGAAGTATGATGTATTTAATCATGGAGAAGCACATAAAAGCTAGCAAACATTGTGGGAGAACATAAGATTTACAGTTTAAGTATTCAAGAAGCTCATCTAACATTTAACAGTGTATACTGGACTTGACAACAGGTGGGCAACTTATCAATAAAGTTTAAGAGGATTAAGAACTATAAACAGGTTCATCACTGCACTAATGTGGTCAGTGTGCAGGTACCTCTGAGACCACACTCACCTTATAGACCTTCCCAAACGCTCCGTCGCCCAGCTCGCCAATAATTTCCCATATGTCGTTTGGATCGATGTCCCGATGGACGTGCTCATACTGCTTTACTTTCTTTTTGATTTCAAGTGTTGGCAGACGGAGTATTCTGCTGAATCTCGCGAGTGCCATTATTTACAGTGCGATAAAATTCAGCTAAAAAAAAAAAAAAAGTGTCAAAAGGCTCTTCACAGAGAGCGCAGAGGCGCGTGGCCAGATACTCTACCAGTTCACCAAACGTCACTTTCCGTGTCCAAGAGAAAAGAATAATAGACTTGAGCTACTTCAAAGAAGTTGGTCTACTCCGTCCATGACAACCCGGGTCTCTGAAGACTCTGCGTTCATAGTCCCATTCACAAGATGCGGGGAAGTGCTGGACGCGCGGTGACCACCTGCCGCTGGAAACACGATGGAATAGCCGCTTGCCCGCCTGCCAGGGCAACTTGTTGCTTCTTACTGCTCGAAAACGCCCCACCTTGCTACTCAACAACCCTCCCTCTGCCGTCATGGAAATGTAGTTTCTTTGAAAGAGTAACTCGTCGAAACTGTTGCGCTGATGAAGTACAAGGACTTCATGTCCGGGTTGGTGCTGGGCGTGTCCTCTGGCTTGCTCCCACACAGCTGTGCCATTAACCTACTCCACTTCTTGGAGCGCTCTAAGCTGCAGTTATGAGTTCATTGTGACCCTAATTTACTTTATTGTTTACATCCTACTGCATCACTATAATGTTAAGGTTTTTTTTTTTATATATTATTAAAGAACTGTACAAGTGAGACTCAGACACAGTTAGTGATAGATCATTACAGTTTAATACAGTTTAATTAGGAAGTTTTAAAATCAGAATTCATCTGCAATCTTCTTACTTTCTTCTCTTCTCTATATGATGGCTCAACTACCCTGCTCGTCACCTTTACAGGCAGTACTCAAGCGCCCTCTAGCGGCACATTCAGCACAGTCGTTGATAAACGACTTCAATGTGAGAAAGCTACAGATGAATTAAATAATATTTTATAAAGCATTAAGCCCAAATACCAAACATTCTGTGTTTCCGGCATCTCAGATGCGATACTGTGTAGCTTTCATGTTCTATATAATTTTAAATTGAATGTGTTGGGTCAATCAATTTGAAGACATCACCTTGGGATCTGGGAAAACAGTCATGTTTTTATACTATATTCATTTTTTCCTTTTTAAATAAAGGATAAAATAGCATAGATAACTAAATGTAACTATAGGATCATGGGGTGTATGATTTTTCCTCTTTCCTTTAGTGTAGTTTTGTGCTCTATGCTGCTGTGACCTTTTACAGTTATTTTTTATCTGATGTTTTTCTAACCTTCAGAATGAAACTCTTTAACTTTCATTTATTATCTAATTTGTAACAGTGAATTTCTCTCTATGGAATTCTATGGAAAGATTAGCCAAACAATTAACTGCTGAATTAGCAATTATGGACAGGAAGATTGGCAGCAGCGCGGTGATGTCATGCTTTGCTTGCTCATCAGTACTGCACTAAGCTGTGGGTTGGAAGACGGAATTTGGCATGTTGTGTTTCAACGGCAGCTTTACTGTTTCAAGATATGCATCAGGATATATTTATCAATTTTAGTGTATAGGTTTATTTATCTTAATTGTTTAAACTTCATGCAAAACCAACCATTTTGTTAAACAGTCTCTAATAGCACTTACTATTGTTGATACATTGTGAAAGAGATTTAATCACAGCTCCTGTAAATCTCCAAAGGTCTCTACTAATCTCCTAACACTAATGAGTTGTCACTGTTGTAATTGTGTGTATACTTTGTGTACATACTTTGTACAGTTCCTATGACTACAAACCTCTCTCAATTAAGCTCCAGCATGTTAACTTGAAGCCCCTTCCCTCCCTCTAAAATCCCTATTGGTTTTAAGTAATTTTGATCCTTTCACACACCAATAAATACTGGGTAATGATGATTTAGAAATACTCAGAAATGCCTAACAACAGACCTTATGTCACAGAAGACATTTGCACTGGTGTAAACAATGAAATTAATGATGGATGAACTCCATTTAGTTGCTTCAGCTTCATGATTCAGTCCATGGTGGCTCACTGTCATACTGACTTACTGGGACACCTGAACACAAGTCAAAATGTTTGCTGTTAAAAATGCTCTCTTTAACGATCTGTCAATATGTGACAGGGTATATTTAACGTGGAGTCACTTTGATATCATTGGAGGAGTAATTAGAACAAGTAAATACAATCTTTTATTAAAATACATGAGATGCATATTGTGTTTATTGTCAATAAATGAGAATAACAAAAGGCATTTTAATAAAGTTTATTATGTGAAATGTTTCCAGTCAGATTCCATAGGAAAGATGTGATAATTAGTGATACTAATAAACCCCATTAAAGTTAGAAAACAGATTATTACAGTATGTTTATTTAACATAGTTACACAACCAGAGTTACTATAGATATAAACTTAACTTCAGCCTTGTGTCTTTCAATCACTGCAGACGCTTGGAGAATGTACATTGACAGATTGCTGTCTCTCCACTCTCCTTTGAAAGACTTTGAGCAGTAATATAGTCATTTTGGGTAGGTTAGTGCTCCAGTGCCGCACAGTCATAGATCGTGAACACCAAGTCCTATAAAAAAGATAAGTGAAATAGACGTTTGTGATTGAATAAGATCATTATTCAGGATTCACATTTCATATGCAGCTCAATCTCATGAGCCTTCATGTTAAATACATTGTTATAGGGATTGAAAGTGCAGGTACAAATAAAAATCCCAAACAGAAAATCACCCATGTGACATGTGTGCACTCACAATCCATTTCCTTTTTTTCCAGTCTATAATTGACCTTAATCAACCATTTCTCTGTTATTGAAGCTTTCTAAAATGACCAAAACAAAAGTGGATTAACTCTAACCCTTTGTCGAGACATCATGGCCTGGTCTGCGCAGACATGTCATGTCACTCATTATGTTATGGGAAATCAGGCGCAGACCCAGATGTGCCTGACTTCATAGTTCAGGTGAGCAGGATCAAACATCCACTGAGAACTGAATGTTTTTTGGTAATCCATTATAAACCCTGTTTAATCCTGTGAAATGACCTACTAGCAGTCAGTTTGAATGCATCTCATCAGTGTTAGTCTGTTTTCCCTTTTTCTGTGACATGTTGGGCTGCAGTGACTTTGGCTCAGTGGATATAGTGCAGATAAATTTGAATTATTATTATTACGCAAGTTTTTCATTTCAAAAATTCATAATGGCAAGTTAGTTGGAGACTTTGTGTACAGCAGACTAAGTCAAATTTAGTGCTGAATTACAACTATATTTTTCGGGTTAACGTGCCAATAAATGATCTGTAGCTCAACTAATAATCTTAAAGAAAGTTGATTTCACTGTTACATCTTGGATGAGGTTAATACACTGTACAGCTGGACAGGTGGTCAATGAATCAGTGTAGCTACATATCTTAATACAAACGTTTGCGATTATCACACAAAAGGCTAATTTCCATTAACCTCTGTCATAATAACTGGCTATGGCCATGACAGTTAATACCTCTTACTAACTACCACTCACTAGCTGCTACACAGGAAATACAAACATGGTGATAATGGGAATTTTACATCACAGTATCAGATAGTCATGACATCATAAAGGACACACTAAAAAAAGTGTGATTTCTTTTGTTAAAAATAGCATTGATTGTTTTTGTTTAACCCTGTATGAGTGATTTACTTACATAAAAACAAATTGGATGTAAAGATTTCAAGGATTTATTATGTTGCTGGATGAGATGACATATTTTTAAGTTTTCACTTACATTCTGTGGCATGCATTGTACTTTGATTGTTGTAGACAACAAGGACTGAAAAGACAACAGCCTAATCAAATATAAGTGTATTTAATCTCCTTATTCGTACAACTTTACATAGTGTCACTTGTTTGTGAAATTTCTACATATTGCTACTGTAGTGTCCCCCAGATCGGGCTTTGGGTGTCACAAGGTTAAGTGGACCAAAACAATACAACTTTTACTAACAGTGCTACTACCACTATGAATTGTACCTTATTTATTCACAGAAGAGAAAGTCACTTTTTCAAAAATGTTATATTCCGCTAAAAGTACAGATAATGTACAAAAAAATCTTTCCATGCAAACTGATTTAAGGTACATGTAGTTTCATTTTATATATTGTATTGAATCTCATTGTGTTGAACTTATTCAGACCATTTGTCTTGTCTTACCCCATGACATTTCTCTGACATGATGATGAAGAGCTGTCTCAGAGTGACACCCAGCTTCCTCACTTCTCTGGTGTAAGCGCAACGGCGCTCACGCAGGCCTTCCACCAGGGAGATGTAGGTTCTCATTTTGTACATCACGCAAGCATTCTGGCGGCATGAGTAGTAGCAATTAGTGTCCCCGCCGCGTGATTTACAGCTGAGGTTTTCAGTCAAAATACCACAGATGTTAGTGTAGAAACGTTTGGGGCAGCCAGATAGTTCAAAACAAAGAGTGAAATAAACATCGACTGAAAATACCGATCAGAAAACATATTTTCTCAAGTAAAGTTTTTATGTTATCTTAAAATTTAACTTAGGTTGACTTCCAAATATTTCAGTCTATTAAGATTGATAATAAATAGGTTTAAGTCATGGGGAACTTGAAGTTACACTTACATGGACATCAAGATACAGAGGTGGCATGTGTTGCATGCAGAAGCTCTGGATGAAAAAAACAATAGGTACCATTAAGTTTTAAAAAAACAATGTTGACAGGATAATCTAATGTAGCTTTTATTCCCATAAACTCATACTCACAGGAGTCTCACATAACTAAATAAATCCAACTAAAATGTGTTCACATTTACCCTGCTATGTTTTGATTTGATGAATTATACTAAATTAATGTATTAATTCTTACCTGTAACTAACTACACTTAATGAAGGAATTAGATAGCTATTATCTCCACTATGGTCCTTTGTACAATACATAAAAAGCACTAAACACAGAACAAGTACAAATACAATGTGGCACACAAGGCCTTTCAAGAATAGGAACTGAAAACAACCTTTGAGGTAAATCTAATGTATATAAAGCAAAAATCTATAAGAGTGACAACACAGCAGCTGACTTACAGTTTCAGGATCCCTCTTTAAATCTGCAGCCCACTGGGTGAGATCTCGTGCCATGCTCAGTACCTTGGTGTAGCATGTTGGTGGGTAGAAAGGGTAGCTCAGTACCAGTGGCGCCAAAGACAAAACAAGCAACAAGTGGTTAAAGATCGCCATGACTCCCTGACACCTACTGCACTAACAAAACCTTTGTTTGTTTGTGTCACCAGTGCACACATGCAGCCACGTATGCATGTGGACATATTTTAGCCCGCCCACTGTTTACTCCAAAATAATTATGCAACTGTAGTAGTGGAATGACAGGAATCACCCCATTGTGTCAGATTAACCAGTACTGATCTTTATGGAAGAGTGAAAGCAGAGTCGAGAGGACAGCACAGTGGGATTTTTGTCAAAAAGTTTTAATACTGAGAAGAAATAAATGATTAATTTGCCTTAGGGCAGCTCAGGAAGGGAGGAATATTCAGCATAGTATTCCTTTTATTTGAGTAAAATGATGAAGTATTAACATGAAAAAAATTCTTAAAGTACCAAAAATAAAAGTACTCATTATGCAGAATAGACCATTTCAAAATACTGTATATTATAATATTGGATCATAAACATTAATGCATTAATATGTACCCCCACTTTAATGTTGCAGCTGCTAAAGTGAAGCTAATTTAAAATACTGCTCGGTAGCTTGTACATTTTTGTCCAGGGATCAATAAAGTTTTAACTTAACCCATGATAATCCATAATTTCTTTGTTGAATACACTTGTGTTATTCATTTGAATTTGCAAAGAAACCAGTAACTAAAGTTAGCAAATAAATTTAGTGGAGTAAAAAGAACATTATTATAATTCTTGGGAGCAGAATTCTAGCAGAAAATGGGAAAACTCAAAATTGAAATTAAGTACAGGATTTTAGAACATGTTCTTTGTTACTTTTCACTTCTAAAGATTTCTTTTCATATGTAGTACAAAACAAATGTACATTCTGCAAGATCACATACAAAACAGGACAGTGCCACAGCCTTGAGATCCCAACTCAATATAAGCTATAGCACCTTTGGAATGAAATTGATGCATATTTTTAATGTATTATATTTTAATATTCTTCTGCAGGTCATTTGTTGCTTTGTACATTTTAATTTAAAGCACAGTGAGTTAACATTGAAATGTGCTACAAAAATAAAACTACCTTGGCTGGTAGAATAAAGACAGTCTTGAGGCCAAAAATGGGACCAGAGAATTCAGATGTTGGACATGTATGCCATAGGAGGTATTTGGACCTTTATTCTATTAGTGCGGGTGTGCAGGGTGTACTGTTATTTATTCAATCTCTGAAGAAGTGAAAAAAACAAGATAGCAAAACACATCAATAAACTCCAACAAGGAGTTGATGTTGGCACAAGCCACAGACTACCAGAGTATTACATTTCTAATGTTCATACCTAAACATTATATTTATTCAGCTTATCTTAATTTTACCAAGCAGCTGAACACAGCTCAGTATTCTGAACACTTAATATATAAACAACCTTATATGTGTAAAATAATTTCAGTGGTAAAACTACATATATTTCCTGCAGTAAAAAGCAAAACCTCAAGTATGAAACATGCCTGTTAAAACCTATTAACCTGTACTCTGATATCTGTTTGCCATAATTAAGCATGTTTGCAGTGGGGAGGGGGTGGTGTTTATCTGCAGATACTTTGACTGGAATACAGTAAATTGAAACTTCCCAAGACCCTTCCCATATTGAAACTGGCTTCTGTCCTATCATGGTATGCCCTTTTTATCCACTAGATGGGGCTAATTTCAGCTTAAATCTTCTTGAGCATTCTTAGTCCAGCATCATGTTGAAGTTCTCCAAATACTTTCATTCCTTAATTAAAATCTGAATGTGATATAAAAAGGATTTATATATGACCAATTTTCCATACAGGCAAAAAAAAATACCCTCACAAAACGCAAAACTAGGACAACGCTGGGACACGCCAGTGCCTCCTGCTTGTTAAGTAGCTTTACTCTGTCTCTGTCCAGGTGTGATATGGCACTGTCATCGCTCATCCCATCTAGAAGAGCACCACACTCACTGATGCTGCCAAACGCACAGTAGGACATTGGCCTGCTTTTGAGTTGTGCTAGTCACCTCTCATAGTGTGCATTGAGAGTTGGAGGTCTGTCTCCTCCCTCCATAAAAAGATGGATGGCCCACACAGAGTGTGTCTTGGCATGACAGAGAGCCACAAAGAGGAAGAAAATGTGTAGTGTGTGCTGTAAGCATATCTCTGGTCCCACAGTTGCCCTACTCAGCCATTCTCTTCTCGACCTTGGCCTGCTCAATTAACATGGGACACGGGTGACCGTGCTGTCCTTATAATGGACGGATGTGTTTTACAGTTAGTAGTTAATGGCCATAGCAGTCTGCAGCATGGCAGCATGGCAGCATGGCATTGCATGTAAAGCTGACGTGCATAATGTGAAAACATGTATAGGGGAACTTAATCTTGCTTCCCTAGGTACTTCAGGTACTTATTCACTGGGTTGTCCAGTCAACCACTATCCTTTATTGCAAGCCAGTGAGGGGTAAGTGCCTTACTCAATTGGACCTCAGAAGGTAAGTTGGTGAGGTAAGTGAGTTAAGTCATTCAACCCACCCACATATTTTCAGCTTTTCCAGACATTTGAGCCAAATTTAGGATACCGACTATGGAAATATGGGAATAACACACACTCCATATGTGTGCTCACAGGCGGCTCAAATAAAATAATCCTAAAACCTATATGGTGTACGGTGCATGTAAGAATATTAAATTAATATTATATTAATGCTTTAGGAGATAATAAAAGACATACCATAAAGCACAATAAGGTCAAGCATAGACTCACAATCAAACACCAGAAAGATATTACTGGCCATTATTCCCCCTGTCGGACTATTTCCATAAAACTTTAAAGGCTATTATGAGAAAGTAGGCTCTGTTGGTCTATTAAGAGAGTGCCCCTCACCTGGGGGCCAGCGGGTTGAAACACCCACAATGGCTTGCTGAAGAGCTTTGAGCAAGGTAGCAGCTCTGGTAGTGTGTGTGTGTGTGTGTGTGTGTGTGTGTGTGTAATAAAATAATTCCCTGCGACAAAAGTAAAGAATTATAAATAGAGTATTACGAGGCAATAAAGTGATCCTTAAATGAAAAGATCCGCATTGGCTCATTGTTAATACTACACACGCGCATGTGTTCTGTGGAAATCAGCATCATCGCGGGCCATTGATAAAAAGACAACCTCTTCTTAATTTTAGGCAATAACCCAAAAGAAAAACACTGCAGGGGCTACAGAATGACTCTGCATTGCTTAACTGACTACAGTAAACTTGTAATTATAACAGGCACACTCGTCTCTCTATGGGCTAATATTTCTAAAATATAATATTCCAGTAAAGATTTTAAGTGTAATCTATTTGGTATCTATGTGAAAATGCATTAGGGAGTATAGATTTTGGCTGAGTGAGTGCCAATAACAGGGAATGCTCAGCACCACCGCCACAGCAGATCAGCATGTGAAACGTGCCTCTCCAGACGCACGGTGGTGTCCAGCGCATTACACAGGCGGCGATGTGGAGGTCAGTCGCTCATCAGTGCAACGCGCCGAGCAGTTTCCCCCGTAAACACCCGTCTCTGTTCCATTTGTCCTCCAGAAACAAGGGATTTCGCATTGCACTCAGTCGGCGCATCCCGCAAGTCACGTTCTGCTGAACGGTTCCATTTTTCGGGTGGCAGGTGTCCCGGTGCGTCATCGTCCGAACACCGGACAGGGGATGCTTTGAGGTGCACTGTTGCTCCCCTGATGCTTCACATCTCTGCAGCAAACCGTGCTGGAAATGGTCCCATGTTCAACTAACCGGCGCCGCTCAGAGGTAGGTTCCCACAGCCACAGCTACCCTGCATGGATGCAGGAGGGTGCTTTCTATTCAGCGCATTTCTCCCATATGATCAGATAAGGGCTCCGGGCACAATGTCCTCTGCGGGCCAGGGGGCTCAGCAATGCGGCTTCCCGCACTACTTTTTAAATATTTAATTTAACCCTAGAAGGGTATTCAGATACGCTGTGATGGGCTTATCATCCAGTCTGAGAATGACATTCATGAAAGGGTTTCCCCTCGCGGATTAAATATTGCGACGATGACTTGAAGTTTTCCTATTTAAATGCATCTCATAACTCAGTCCAGTCATTCATTCTGCTTTCATATTTTATTATGGGGCATGCTGTCAGTTTAAAATGATACAAGAGCAAACCGCATAGTAAAGCTGTGGTGTGAATATTGTAGCATCATGGGAGATTCTAATGTCATTAAAAACTTTCTTTCTGACACTCCTGAGGATATTACAGGAATATCATAGCGTAAGATGCACACATGTACACGATGTACTAACATCCCTACACTTCAGTAAAATTACATTTGAGTTCATAGGCTGATTTTATGAGGCAGCAGGGTTTCAGTATTTGTTTGTTTTTGTCTAGTGGATCTTACTCATGAAATCTCATGTCCTGAAGAGGGCAACATGAGGGATTCCATTTACAGTACACAACACCAGCAAACTATAAGTCAAAAGCCTCCAATGTTGTGCTCTTAATGGGAAAACTGATCATACCATTCATCACCCATGCACTGCAAAATGGGCTCCTCTGAGATGACTTTCAGATTAAAACATAAAAATTGAATAATGACTAAATGACAGATGGAAGAAAGAAGGACAGGATGAAGAAGGAAGGAGACCTGTACTGTAAAAATAGGAATAAAAGTTCACAAAACATATTGATTGCTAATGAAGTCCTTGACATTAATGTGCTCTCCTGCTGCCATTGCAGGTTGCATTTTTTTGTATTTTGTATTTTAGTATCTTATCTTAGAAAATGATGTGTCGATTTTCCATTGATCATTAGATGCTGCCCCCCCCCCCGTCCTTCCTTCCCTCCCTCCCTCACTCTACTGGTGGTGTCATGTTTTCCTGCCTCCCCTCACAGGTTAGACTCTCAGTTAACAGAGGGTCACAGCCACTAACACAAGACCCAGCCTCCTCCTGAAGAGGCACGAGTCGTCCGCCTGCCTGTGTTCGTCTCAGCAGCAGTGAAGACAGACAGGAGACTTACACCGTGGTGGTCAGCCTTTGTGTGTGTGTTTCAGTGAGTCAGTGCCTTTAGTGTTCCCCCAAGCCCTCGACTGTGTGTTTGTGTGTGTATGTGTGTGTGTGTGTGTGTGCAATGATGTGTGGCTCTGTCAAGGTGGAGAATTAAGAGGAAGACCTGTCAGTGAAACCGAGCCAGCTGTTGCGTATGTGTGTGTCAGGGCTGAGCAGTCCAGCACGCGAGATTAAGAGTGTGTGTGTGTGTGTGTGTGTGTGTGTGTGTGTGTGTGCGTGCGTGAGGGGCTACTGTTGACCAGGCTATGAGTGCGTCTCAGAGGGAGAGGCGGTTCGATGCTGAGTTGAGCTAAAGGAGCAGAACAGGAGAATCTGTAAGAGGAACAGCCATGGGGCTCGGACAGTCCAGCAAGGCTCCCGTCACTGATGACACAGACGATGGTAAGTACTGAAACATCCTTATTTGACTTTCTTCTCTTTTTGTTTCTCTACTTTCGTGGCTCAAATCGAGTAAAGATAAACGGGGATGGTGGGTGAAACAACACGTGAAATGGCATGAAAGTTGTGAGCAGGATTCACCACCTTTGATTGCCTTATGCTAGGGAGTCCCGTCTTTTCTGCAGCCTTGTCAGTGTGTTCCCATATTCCTTTGTGATCTGAGTAGATAATACAATGTGAATTTATTGATCTGAGTCAGTTCCTTTAAATTAATTTCACTCTGGCTGCACCCTGGGGGCTTCAAATAAGTCAGCGTTACATGATTCAGGGGTGTAGAGAGAAGTGAAGTGTCTTTCCCAGGTTTTTCCTACTGAAATTATTTTTTTCTGTCTATCTGGGATCCTAGATGGTCTGAAACATTTGTTTAATTTCATAAAGTTGCAAACTGCAATTTCTGTTTTCAGTTTAACCCATTCAGCCTGTTAATATCCCCTTAATTACCACTAGAATTTTCTTTTATTTGTTTGTCTGGTGAAATAGGTATTTCATTATTGTGTGACAAACCAACATTATTTTTCGCTCTGTGTCAAATGACTGCATCGCACTCTAATGAGATCGATATCTGTGGCTTTTCACTGGAGGCAACCTCTGTCAAAAGGGAAATCATTATTCATGGTTAACCTTGCTGCTTAGTCATCTAGTGTGTTGTACTGGAAATGTCATAACTGAGCGTCTCTGAACTCTGAGTTAATGAAACAGGGAACCTTTTTGACTTCTCTCTCTCAAAATCAGCGTGGGCGATTGCACCGAGGGCAGCAGAATAATAAACACAGAGACACACCGTTTTGATTTGAAAAAGCCCCGCTCACTGGAAACGAAGTAATCCCCTTGCTGATGAAACTCGCGTCAGGCACCGGCATGATTCCCCGTTTGAGGTTGGAGCAAGCAGATGGGTCACTGCATGTTGAGTATACATCATGCAAATTGAGTTTTCACTTTACACATCAGGAGTGTTAAAGGTCGTTTAAAGGTAATATTAGGCACAGCGGTGAAATTCATGTTTGTTTGTTAATTCAACAGTGAATATTTATAAATGCAGACATTTCAAAAATATACTGTATGGAAATGCTCCAAGGTTGGCTAATGGTCATTTTCATCTGTAGTTCCTGAACAGCTAAAAAGTTACCTGACAAGTTTTAAATGTAGTTGGTGTCAAAGTTATAAATAACATTTTACTACTTTACAAATTTGGTCATGACCACATATAACAACCATCAGGCCAGGTTTGCAAAAATGTATCTCTTTCATATTTTACACACCCAATATTTAAACTGCCAGTTCAGCAAGGCCTTTTCCTGACGATTTATCTGAATAGAAGAGCTTCACAAAAATACAAATGAGTGTGAGATTGTGATGCGCCTAATCATTTAGGTTCTTCTTTAGATATTTTTATATACATTACTGTTGATCTTTGCGGTCTCTATTATAAATGAGTGTTTTAATAATATAATAATAATCTTGTAATTGTGGTGAATGCTAAAACTAAATTTCTCCTTGAAAATGAATTTATCCACAGAATAAATGTACAGGCTGTTTTCGTTGCTGGAGTCAGTGCAGTGACAGATGCATATTTTGTTGTTAATACTCAACCCATATTAGTTGAATTGACCTATGTCTGCATGAAGGTGAACTCTGTCAAGACATGTTTATCTCCTCTGAGGATGATATGAGTACCACGTGTTGCCAGTACGTTTTCCACTTTGTGTAACCAGGAGCCCCTTGTTAATGGACAGGACCTGTTTACTGCTGATCATAGATTCACATTGCAGTGGCACATGGACCCATGGGTTCTGTTTCAGTTGTCAGAGCAACTGTGTGAGCACTGATGTTTCCACGCTGGTGGGTCCTTAAGTGATTTACAGGCCTCTGTATCAGAGGGGAGAATTAGGGGAAGAGAGAGGAGGAAACAGAGTTAATGCATGATGAGATGGCTAATTTTTGTCATTTACTTTTTCCATAAAGAAAAACAAAAAGGTAAATGGCTAAACCTATTCTTCTTTGTCCTATACAACAAAAAGCTGCATCACAGCAAAAAGCCGGGTCACACTGACCAACAAAACATAGCAAAATGTTTATTTAAATGGAAAAGAGGGTGCATTGAACAACCCTGTTGTGTTACGAAAGGGCAATGCACTGCCTTTTTAATATGGTGGGGTTTATATAGGCTACATGTTGCTGATGATTGGGTAACATCTCTGACACATAAACCAAATGAGAGAAAACGTACCTCAAATGCCGCTGCACTCCTTGTCACATCGTTTCAAGGAAAGGTGTTGTTTAACTCAGAACCCAAACGGTGCAAATCGTTTTCAGATTGAAAGTGCCCCTGGTCAGGAGGGAGACAGACACATCTTGGTTTGTCTAATGAGTCTCAGCCGGTTAACCTCTGTTTAGTTCTCTCCTGCTGTCTGTAGCGCTTCAATTTATGACGCTGTAAGAACCCCCTAGCATCATATCATGTATGAAGTATGAAAAGTCCACGGTAAGACACAGGACTTTCATCCGGGAGCCCGGCACTTCATTCCCTATGTGAAACAAATGGTAAATGTTTACTTCTTTTTAACTTAACTTACATAATGTTTTTTAAACACAAACCACAATCTTTTCCTAAACCTAACCAACTAGTTTTGGTACCTAAACCTAACCAAACTGTGACAGTTTCCCAATGTTAACCACATGTTCATTATTGCTATCATGACAATGAAGATCACCTGACTGTGATGAAATGTTTCTCAGCACGTATTATTTTGAAAGTCTAACCAGATGTTGAATATTTATTATTGGTACTTTGCACACGAACCCTGCATGTGCAAAACTGATGCTAGAGGAGTACCTGCAGCGTCATAGTTTGAGGGCCACTGATCAAGCTGCCGTATTTGACGAGTTGGGAGTAAGAAGGTGGTTATTTGGATATAGACAAACTCATGAGTCATTGACTCTCATCAATATATTTTTCAGTTTCTGTTGTCAGACAACTCAATGACACACTGTGCCCTGTTTCTAAAGATGAATCTCTTCAATTGAAATGATTGTGCTTGGGGCTGAGTGCAACAGACTGGGGAGGGAAGTATTGTGGGACTGACTAACACATTGTTGGTTTTGCTCTTTTCATGGGATTTGTTGACAATAAGAAAAACATAGAATAACAGCGACCCCATACTTCAAAATTAATAATCACAGAGAGGGTCAGAGTTGACATAAAGTTTAAGAAGTTTTCTTAACTTCACTGCCACACAGACCCTGACTAGCTGTTTTTAGTGTCCACGTGAAAATTTGTAGCTGGCCGTCTACAACAGTAGAGTCTGAGTAGCCGTGAGGATCTGCTTAGTGTTAATTCTGTCACTTACACATGTCCACAAGAGCCGGCGTGGACGTTTCTGCATGAGATTCACATGCAGCCCGAGAGTATGAGTACAAGTGTATAAAAGCATTTAGTGTGGCTGGAGGGCCAAAACAGAGAGCATTTTCAGTTGTTGCTGGCTTAGTGTAGACAGATATGCAGACGACTTCTGACAGACCAGACAGAGAAAGAAAGGCACAGACACACATTACAGTACAGTCATACAGAGAGTGTGAGAAACTGTGTGAGACTCAAACTGAACAAGCATGATTACTTTAATCCAAACCAATTAGCATGTGTCAGTCAAATTCCAATTGACTAGCAGATGAGCTCCTCGGTCACATGGTTTCCCCCGTTAGTTTAAGCCATGGACAGCCTGTCAATGTGTCAATTCCACTTGTGCAGATTTCAATCATTACATGCTGTGTTACTCGTGTCCATCCTTTAATACAGCACATTAAACCATTTAAAGTTCTACTGGTAAAATATGACAGTCTCCATCTCACTCCCTCTCTCACTGAGTCTGCCTTCTCTCTCTCTCTCTCTCTCTCCCCCTTTGGATGGCTCTCTCGCTCTCTCTGCGATCACAGAGCTCTGCCCTCTCATCCACGACCACAGCTGTCTCCCATCAGAATAGAATCTCCAAGTAGCTCAGCAGGAAAATGTTTATCTGGAGTGTGTTTCTGCGTGTATGTTAAGTTTATACACTATCATCTGTAAGTCTATGTATGCGTGTGTGTGTGTGTGTGTGTGCTTTATAAATGCAGGCCTCATATGGTCCTGATCAGAGTAGGCTGTGTAAACACTCCAACACAGATAGTGTGAGAGGAGGAAGTGCCAGTGATACGTGACTAACAGAGCATAACATTAACTGTCACATCCAATAGATCCAGCGACTGGCAGAATGAGTGTGTGTGTGTGTGTGTACGTGTGCACGTTGTTCTGTTGCAAGAGAATCAGGTAATGTTTAAAGTCAGCACTTTATGTCCAATATATTTTTGAGAAAGATTGTGAATGAATTGTGAGTATAAGTGTGCATCTGTGTGTGTATTTGTGCATGGTCAGATGAATGTAAAGAGTGGGCAGCAGCTGTTCAATCGTCCTGGTTGTCATGGCAGCATGAAACCAACAGCCCCATCCGGTTCCAATTGGCGATAAATGTTGCTGATAGATGGAGGAGAGTGAGATATGGCATTAAGCTCTGGTTTAGTTTATATGTGTGTGTGTGTGTGTGTGTGTGTGAGACACAGACAGAGTGAGACCATGTTTCATAAGTGTGCAGGGGAGAGAATGATACGAAGTAACTACAGCTAAAAATGTCTTTTGTTCGGTGGAAAAACGTGACGATAATAAAAGCATCTTTGTACTGAAGCTTCTTTCAATTCTCTGCTATATGATGTCAGTGACCTGTCGCTGCCCTGGAGACCCCCATCTGCTTCAGCTTAACTGTGTGCATTGTTCAAATGAGCTCAAAGCAAACCTTACAGTAAACCAACTTTAACTGCACTGACAGTTGAAACTTACTGAATGACCTTGTTTTCCCTTGAAAATGGCTGAAGTTTCATTTGATTTTCATAGTGTGTGTATTTCCTTCTTTATTAGCTAGAATGTAGAGTACAGTTTTAAAGCTGATTTTTGACATTTAAAGCTGAAAGCCATAGCTTCAAATGTTTAAACTACAGCAAAAATGAGTATATAGTGTTGACCTTGTAAATTTGTTTCACTGTGTTTTAATATTTGGGTAGACACAATACTGTAATTTTCAGGTTTACATTACTTTACTTAATCTATAAATTAACTGAGATTTCCCTCTTGTCTCTCACAGTAAATTTTGACCACTTCCAGATCCTGAGGGCAATAGGAAAAGGAAGCTTCGGCAAAGTAAGTCCATGTTTGCCAAAGTGTTTTCTTTTCAGACTCAAAACAAAGATGCCCCGATGTTACTCAGGAATGAGTTAAGTTGGAAAAAGTGTTCTAGTATGTTTCAGCTTCATGATACATACATAGTATCCTATGCAAAACAACAACGACATATGAAAGACATACTAACACTTCAACACCAGCACTGACACACAAACTAACACAAATTCAAAGAGGACAGTAGTGTCAGGAGACCAGTTAAAATAGGCAATACAAAACCTTAATAACATAACAAAAATACATGCTGTTTTACAGAATACATACAAATATCACTCAGCTGTCCTAGACCTGACACTACTGATTAATTTAATCAGTGATTCATTTGCTTTCCTTTTCTAAATTATTTACTTGATCTGTAGCCAGAGGTGATATTAAAATGCTTGTTTTGTTACACAAACACTCTAAGAACCTAGTTGGTTCTACACAACAAATAGCACCAACTCCTCACAATGTAGAATCTGGAAGCAGGGAGAGTTAAGCATTTCTGCTCAGAAAATTAAAAAATAGCTGATTATTCTTCTGTCAATCGACTTATCTTTGCAGCTCTACATGATCCGCTTTGATTTCCTAAAAGAGGCATGTGCGCATTAGGCGCTACATGTTGTTACACATAATATACCATGTCCTATCTCTGTCAGTACAATATTCCAGTGTAATTTACTCATGATGGACCAGCAGCTCCACAGAAACAAATCTGAGGTGATAGCAGCCATGTTTCTTCTTGCTGTTAAGCCATATAGAACAGAGCACTCCATATCAGCACTTACAGTACATGTTAAGCACATATAGCGACGCACATGCACACTCCCAACACAAACTCCACAAAGCATCGACCCTCGTCCAACAACAGATAAGCAGTCTAATCACAGTAGATGGCAAGCTGTTCAATGGGAGGAGTGATGTGATCAGGGTTTGGCTGATTAACTGTGCCAGCTGGTCCACAGATCACTCTCTTAGATAGAAGTAATCACTGGTTTATTGACGCTTATAGCCCAGACAAGATCGACTACAAATAAATATGGGGCATTACAACGCTGCATATTCAAAATAGAGTCTATTCTCAGGCACATTGTCAGAAGGGGGTAATCAAGTACAGTTTGACTTATACACACAATGACAGCTACTCAGATTGTGGCAGGTATTCTGAATTTTGCTGTATCACATCAGAGTCATGCTATTTATCTCCACTGTTGCAAGTACACTGACTGCTGTTTCATGCAATTTTGGGAGAAATGTCTTCGTTCCCTACTGACATGCACCAGCTATGCTAATGAATTGCTTACATGATCTTTCACAACTCTAAAATGTAAAACATGCTGGTGTACAAAAGTTGAATGTCTTAAGAGAGGATTAAATTCATGATCACAGAGATTAAAGAGAAATCCTGACACACTTCATGTATCCATGTGTCCCAAGAAACAAAGCTTTCAAAATCGGATGTATGGAAAACATGTTGCAACATTTCACAAAAGTACTCCAGGTTTAAAAGGTGTCAGACAGAATGTCTATTATTTTATGAAATCTGGTGATCTATAGATCTCACAAATTTGGTGAGGCACTTTTAAAAGTAAAAAGGGGGCACTGCACTGTGTTTCTATTTTTCATGCTACATGACTAACAAATGATCAAAATGGACAAAACATGGAGGAATGATGCATCTCATTACTCTGTTGAGGCGATGTTGAGAACTATATTATCATTTTGTATTGATGTTAGCTGTTTAGAAAGCAATATACGAGTCACTTTTAATAGCCTTAAAAGTACTGAAGCATTAGGCGGAGATACACAAGCAGAAACAGAACTATTCAGAGCTTTTTGACCACAGCAGTGAAGAAATTTACCCTTATGTGATCTTCTCAGGTCTGCATTGTACAAAAAAAGGACACCAAGAAGATGTACGCCATGAAGTATATGAACAAGCTCAAGTGTGTGGAGAGGAACGAAGTGAGGAATGTCTTAAAAGAGCTGCAGATCATGCAGAACCTCGAACACCCTTTCCTGGTCAACTTCTGGTAAGCCACCATGCGAATACATATTTGAATGTGTGGTTGTATATGCCTATGTATCAGTTAAGTCTGTAAGGTTTCCTTTAAATGACACAGCAGATAACCCTGGATCACTTCTTACAGAGCGTTTAGGAGATGACTTTTGCATCTTTTTGAATTCCAACTTGGACTGCCTTAAGTTTAAAGTGTATATGCAAAGAGCTGCTTGGGTAAAAGCACACTGTAAGGGATTTCCACTTCAGCAGGTCATCTCCACAAAAGCTGTTTAACACTGGTCATTACCATCAGCCATAACAGCCATTTGAATGATTCTGTAGCACACTCTTTGTCACCCATTTGATTTTAACTGTGATCGTATCCTGCCCATTAAATCAGTGAATGCACAAATACACAGAGAGACCTATCACCTATTAAAGGCTCTGGATTGAGTCTGCAATTGCATGCAAGAGGTGTTTTCCATTGAAGAACACAATTAAGCTTCCATCCACGTCATGTGAAACTGCTAAAAGGAAATTGTAGTTTGCTCACTGATCTAAGCTCAACTTTTATAGTCACGACGCCCCCCCCCACCCCCCCCGTAGCTTTTTCTTTGCCTCACCACATTTGGGGGTTGAGGAAGTCCTTCCCTCAACAAGCCCATTCAAAGTCTAGTGTGCTAATTTAAGATGACTCATCAGGTAATTTTCAGAAACCCATTCATCATAATTTGAAAGCCCAAGCTTTTTGAGCACCAGGAATCGTACTTTTGAGATGCCTGATAAGTATGGCTTGTTAACTTTCCGTCTGAAAGGCGTCATTAATTCTTGATAAGCACTCTCGCACTGCAACGTGTGAGAGGAAGCCACCCTGGTTTTGTGTCAGGCAGACAGGCAGAGAGGAGGATACAAAGATGATGAATAACTCCCACGGTCATGAAGTCCAGTTTTGCTCTTTGAGATCAATCAGGCAGTTCCTTAAAAAAAAGTGTCTTTCCCCATCTGCCCTTCGTCCTCTGTCCCACTATTCTATCCTCTCTTCACCTACTTTCCCATTTTAATTCCATATCTTTTTGAAAGCTACTCCAGCAGAGTCAATAGCTGTCTCTTAATTACTAATTTGAGGGAAATAAAACTAAATCCTCCCACAGTGGGAATGAATTGGAAGAGACCAAAGCACAGTAAAAAGAAGAGAGGATAGGAAAGGCGCAGGAAAAGGGAGAATATCCACAGAACAGAGAGAGGAGGCAGAGAAGGAGAACAACCGAGGAGGTAGACTGAGGAACAGACAGAAGTGCAGTGTACAGACTCATCAGACGAACAATGCCAGCGCTTGCTTTCTTTCTTGATTGCATGCTGTGTTGGGCAAAAAAAAAAAAAAAAATTGGTTGGAAGTTAATGCATTTGGCAGCGTGAACCCCCCTGGGTGGGGGTGATTTCCTCTAGAGATGTGCTTGGGTCAGCGCTGCGCCCACTCTCTCTCGCCCTCTCTGTCTCTCTCACTGTGTTGAGTTGGCGTAAGTTATGATTGTCCTGAGGTAAGCGCTCAAGGTCAGAGATGGGGAGGGATTACCTGCAGGCATATGAACCGCACTGAGCCAGCTGCATGCAGAAAACCAGGCTTCATTTTTCTTCTGTCCGCTGTCCTGTTCTCTCACCTTCCTCCTCTGTCGTCATTTCATCCAACTTGTCTTCCCTCATGTTATACTCTTTTTCTCTTCCTCATCTTCTCTTACTTTCCTCCTTCACCACCTGCTTCACTTCATTTTTTCTCTCCTCTTGCTGTCACTGTGCTGCTACTAGGCATGACCTCAGGTGTCTGTCTGTGCACTGTGGGCAGCCAAGTAACAATGCACTTGGAAGACTGGACCAAGTTATTTTCCATGTAAACTATTAAGTATAATATGTAATAGTGAATTTGGAGAATCTTAACCTCTGACATTAAAAGTGTTACTGTACTGTTGAGCATTGATGTGCCAGCACTGGAAGGGCAGTCCATTGTGCCTGTGCAGCATGTGTAAGGGGAGCCCACACTGGCACTGCACTGCTTCGACTCAAATGCCAGAAATATACTGGGAGGGACAGGGAAAAGACGAGATGGCGACCAGCACCAGATGCTTCTCTCTATTCAGCTTTCAGTATTGCTGCCTCTTGACGTTGATTTGTCACAAATGTCACAGGGGAAGTGCTTCTCGCAACTACCTGCTTGTTGTTTAATGTTTTTGCTGTGATGGATGTGTTGATCACAGACTGTGTAATGTGTTCTCTGTGAGCAGTGCCTTTGTTTAAAGGTGTCAAGCAGAAGGAGAACAGTAGTGCAGTAATATTTATTAGCGCTGCAAAAATGCAAATGTTGTTGATTTATTTTAATATTCTAGGAATGCCAGTTGGTAAACTGTTTGGATCTTAGAGGGAGCAGTTACAATTGTATGCATTTTGATACTTTTAACAAATAAATTGTGGAATAATCATCTTTGGACTGTTGTGAATCTCTCAGAGCTTTTTTCTTCTTGTTACAGACAAAAGAATTCTATGCTAATCAGAACTTGGCCACAGAATAATAATGTTCACTGACAACTTCTTTTCAATTTATGGTTAAAATTTCACAACTAAGCCTGCTTTGAACAAAGTCTGTAGGACACTTCATTCCATAACATCTCCTGTGTGTAACCTCTGTGACAAATACTGCAATGATGTAACATGCTATTACAAAAAAGCAATTGCATAACATCAAAAGAAAAGAAGATGCACATTAACAAAAGTCTGAAAAATTGGAGAGTAAAAGGTTCACTTGCTTCAGGGAGTCCCTCTTTTGCTTAGTTATTATGTAATCTTACTAATGCATTTCATTTCTATGCAGAGCAAGACATCAGTCATTGTTATTCCCCATTAATGTGCATTTTTGCCTTAAAAAAACAAGCAGAAATTGCATTATGTCTCACAACGGCGAAGACTTTCTCAAAAACACTAAGAGAAGAATTCCTCCAAGCATCCTGATATAAAAGGTCTAGTACACCAGATGTGTTTTATCGTACAGGCATTACATTCTGCTTAGCTATAGGGTAGATTATGAATGGATGCCGTGATCTAAAATAAGCTTAATTCCAGAATTCAATATTACAAATAAGCAGTAGCAACCAGCTGCCGGTAGCTCCTTCAAACTTCGCTGTACTTTTGTTTTTTATATGCTTTTTCCCGCTTTATTGCATGTGTTACCTTTGTCATAAATACAGTAATACAGTCATTGGAAGATGAAGACGGGGTTTTGGATTAAAGAGCAGCAGACCAAGATCCACCCGGCCCAAACAACCGCCACGGCGGGTGGCGCCTGGTGATTCCGGTCTGGACAAAATGGGACTCATGTTGACCAAGTAACGGAATTCAGAGACTGTTGTGCCCACATCGTTACAGAGACCTGCCCCATCAACCTCCTGGATCAAGCACTCAGCAGGTGGTCCATGTTCCGAGCTGTCAGCGCAAGACTCCAGCGAGATGAGAGGAAGTGGACCATTTTACACCGATGATGCTTGGTGTACAAATACAGTCAAGATGGACTCTGTTTCCCAAATATCAGACTGTTTGCTGTGAAGATGAAACTTTCATATTATCATCTGGGTGCTGCTGTTTACATTCACCCCAGATGCAAATTCATAAAATGCACTGTGGAATGTGTACGTGTCTCTATATATGTATATAGTTGCTTCCTGCTTTCTTACAGTGCAGACGCTTTGCTGCTTGCACTTGCCTCTGCTTGCATTCTTTTTTCTGCTAGAAATCAGAAGCTCTTGGATACTTTTAAATCACTGGGACTGTCAGATAAAGTTGGCTCTTGCCATACTTTAAAAACTTTTATGATCTTAGTGCTACTCGAGAGCGGCCTATCAATAGCACTAGCCTTTACTGCAGTGACTGGAGCTATAGCTAATGCTAATTAGCAACAAGATGCCCCCCTTCTCCACGGACGACTTCTACAAACTTTTACAGAAAATTGCAGTGCTGGAAACCAAGATCCACAGGTTAGACGTGAATGTGGAAGTGAATGGACTATGTGCGAATGACACCACTTTACCGTGGACCCAAAACAGTGGACAAGAGCATGCTAACACACGGCTAATTAGCACCAACAAGACTACCAAGAAGCAGGAGGCCTGTGTACTGGGTAATAAATCTGAAAGTGGGAGTCCTCCCTGGAACGCTCTTGGTGCAAAGCCAAAGAGTAAATAATTTCCTGGGGAAATTGGAGGACGAGAAACAGGCAGAACCCAGCGCCCTGAGATTTGTGATGTGACTGGCTGGCCTGCATTATCATCCAGGCAGAGCACCTCTTCAACCCCTGTTCTTGGTAGGACATAGCCGTGGACAGCTGTGAAAGGGAGAGTTAGCAACAAACCTCCCCAACAACCGAGCAAAACTGTGCAACAGCAGAACAGATTTTCACCACTATTGCAAGACCCTGGATCTCCGTCTGATGACCTGGATAACCTCCCGTCCTCACACAGAAGGGTAAGGACTGAGAGTAAATCAGAAAGTAAAAGGCTGCAGGGAAAGCTAATGACTGGGCCTCAAACTCTGATTGTGGGTGACGCTGCTGTAAACGATGTAAGAAGCACGTGCAGTAAGAACACCAAAATACTCTGCTTTCCGAAGGATTCTGACTTGTCAGAAAGAATCCTGCCTATCGTGGCTGAACATCCTACTGTGAAAAACATCATACTGCACATCGGGACCAATGATGTTGTGAAGCAACAGTCTGAAGTGTTGAGGATTTTAATAATCTGTTGAACACAGTCAGCTCTTTGAATGCTGAGGTGTTTATCAGTGGCCCTATACCGCCAATCCGAAGAGGAGCTGAAAGATTCAGCAGATTGATGGCATTGAACACGTGGCTCTCAACGGCATGTACTGTCCATTCAGTGCATTTCATCGAAAACTTTTACTTTCTGTGGGACCGCAGACATCTTTTAACCATAACAACCTGGAGGACATAATACAACATCTGAAATCCTCTTCATGTTGCCTTGATATTCTGCC